GGAAGATTGCACAAGTGTCTGCCATGAAGAAGGAGCCAGAAGCCCATCCACATTTCAAGAGTGATGGCAACATTGAGCGCGCATGTGAACTGATTATGTTGGAAAGACAAGTGATGGTGGGTCATGTGGCAAATCATTTGCAAATCAGTCACGGCTCTGCTTATGCAACAAATCACGTGAGACTTGGATTTCTAAAAGTTTGTATGAGGTGGGTGCCTAAACAACTTATGGAAGAGTACAAAGAAGAGCATTTGGACATCTGCAAACACAATTTGTACTGATATTATAAGGAAGGTAGACATTTATTTAAAATAATAATTACTGTTGTTGAGACATGGATTCATCACTACAAGTCTGAGAGTAAACAGCAGAGTATGAAATGGATCACTGACCAAAAAAAAAGTCAACCATTAGGTGGAAAATTGATGTTTACAGTTTTCTGGGATTCTGTAATGAGCACTATTCAAAAATCAATAGTGCTCATTACAGTGAGATGCTCACTGAAGAGCTGAAGGCTAAAATTTGGACAAAACACAGAGGATTGCAATTCATGGATGTTGTGTTTTAGCACAACAATGCATGTCTGCACACCACTGCCCATACTGTCAACATGCTCCCAAAATTTCATTGGTCCCCAAAAACATGCCTCCACCCCAAGGTGAAATTTTTAATAGTCCTGGAATGTACATGGGAGTGGAAAACAAAAACAAAACAGTACTACCCATCCCTCCTCCTATTCTATTCTGACAGCATGAGCTAAGCATTAGATCGGCCCCCTTCCTCCTGACCTTTTGGAAAAGAGTGAAAACCTGGCTCTTCGAGCAAGCTTTTGGAACTGCAGTGTAATCATATAAACACAACACTATGAAATAACAAACATGAAATGGCTAAACGATGCAAAGGACAACGAGATGAACTGGAAGATATTATTATAGTTTCAATTTTTATATGGATTTTATTATGTGCTTTTGACTATTTAATTGATGTATGTATGTTGTGGCATTTAACTGTTGCCAGTTTGTACGCTGCCTTGAGTCGCCTTCAGGCTGAGAAGGGCAAAGTAGAAGTGCAGTAAATAAATAAATAAAATAAATAAGCAGTTCTTGGATTACTGTGTAGAAGCTCTGATGTCAAGCATCTTCCAAAGTACTGTATTTTCTGGTGTATAAGACTACTTTTTAACCCAGGAAAAATTTATCAAAAGTCGGGGTGGTCTTATATGCTAGGTGTCATCTTATAGGGCGGGTGTTGAAGCTTCTGAGCCAGGCTGGAGAATCTGCGGTCGTCGCATATGGTGGGGGAGCTCAAAAACGGCTGTGGCCACATCCCCGCAACCGTATGAAAGCAGCAAGGGTGCCGCTTTACAAGTACGGTAAAAGAAAATCTACTCACCAGGATTTGTGGAAAGAAGTGTCTTAACATGATCCCGATGACAAGGTGAGGGGGCACCTCACTGAGAAGATGGAAGTGAAGGGCAGAGCAAGCCGCAGGCATCTGGGACACCCAGGGTATGGAAAAAAGAGATAGAGCAGCGCTGTGCCCAGAAAAACATGCCTCTTTCACCCGTCTGGCCTGCCCTTGTATCCTATTACTGAACCTCCTTCTCTGCCTCTCAGATCTTGCTGCTGAGGACTAGAGTGAAGCGTCGCAGGCACACATGTGCAAGATTTATTTATTTATTTATTTACTTTGCTTATATACCGCTGTATCTCAAGCCCGAAGGCGACTCACGGCGGTTCACAAACAGTAAAAACAGTAGAAACAGCAGTGGTTCCATACAACATATAACAATTGACTTAACACATTATCCATAAATTACCAATAAGCAGTTACAATGCACAATTATTACAAAAAACAACCGTACCCAATCTTCTCATCATCCAAGCGTAGTCCAGGTTCGTCGTCCATTGTTCCATTCCTATGTTCCATTAGGAACATAAGATCTGAGAGGCAGAGAAGGAGGTACAGTAAAAAATCTGATTTTTTAAAAATGTTAATTTGGTGTGCATTGGAAGAGGGGTACTCTTATTTGGCGAGTATATCCCAAACTCTATATTTTAACTTGAAAGGTTGGGGGTCGTCCTATATGCCCAGTCGTCTTATACATCGGAAAATACGGTAGTTTCATCCTACTCATCATTCAATGTAATGTTTGTAGATGGACTGAATGGATAGTGTACTTCTCAGTCACTTCTCTGGTACCTTCTATAGGTGCAAGCAATACTTCTTATGAGGCAAGTCTCAAGAAAAGGGGCTGGCAGAAGGCAAAAAGAAGGAAGAGAGGAAGAAAGAAATAGCCATTTCCGGAAGGAACTGGAGAAAGGCACTAGCACACTTTATTCTAGTATGCTACAAAATTCATTACTGACCTTTATTAGGTATCATAATACCAAGCATACGTTAAAGTAACAAAAATTATTGTTCTTTGTTTCTTCAGAAAGTCAGGTATTCCAACAGTTTTCTTTACAATTTGTTGACTTTTTTCTTTAAAAAAAACAAACAAACAACAAATCAAAGCCACAGATTTTTTGACATTATAATGAGATGAGAGCATGGAGGGGAGGTGGGGGGAGGCAAGTGTTTACATTTTAAGAGCTTTAAAAGCATACTTCTACTTACATTGAATGATGTTTGCACTTAAAATGCTTTGCTTCCTATATATATATACATACACACATATATGTATGTATATACACACACATATTTACACACAAACATTAATGGAAACAGCCATATCAGTCTGCAAGGTTTTTGCGTTAAACACTACTGGGCTACAGTAAGAAACAAAATACTGAGAAGTGTGAATTTACACTAAAGAGATTGAATAAGCTTTGCTTTTACAACCTGTGTCTAAGGATCACAACACCACTTGGGTGTCAACAAACTGAGTTATGGATGGTTTTGCTAGGGCTAGGTAATGAGAAGTGGTGAGCCTTTATAATCTTGGGGAAATATAGCAGTACATTGTGGGAACATTCTGAGTTGCTGGGGAAGCAATCGGAAAGACGATGGGAGGGCAGCGGCTACTGCAGGAGAGTTCACTTATGGCACATTAAGAAAGTACAGAAGGAAAAGAGGCAGAGGTGGAGGCAGGGAAAAAGAAAAAAAATCACATTTTGTAGGGCCGAGTCAGGTATTAAAACACCAAGTCAAAGAGTGAGACTGCTCAGGTAAGAGACACTCATCTGAAAGGTCTCATATTTAGCAAGAGCCACCAGAGGTCAACAAAAACAAGTCTCAGGTAGGCATTCTCTGTCAATTGTGACAAGGAACAGCATAGTAGGTCTCACGTGTTTCCATCAACCATTGCAGATAGAGAGTGACCTTGTATAGAAGATAGACTCAATATTAGTTCCAGATCTCATGGAGAGTCAGCACAGATGATAATTCTCCTCTTCACAAGGTCGTTCTCCATGTGAGAAGAGCAATGGGAACATGCGAGATGGGAGCAGGGTTGGTATCCACTCCTTGCATACTGAGGCTACAAAAAATAAAAAAAATAAGCCTGTTTAAGTCTAGAATCAGGTCAGGGCCAACAAGTTAAAAGAACAGCAGATTCTAAAAAGGAGGTTTCAGGCTCAAGACTAGCAGGCTGACTAGAGATTAACACCGTGACAGCAGTTAAGCTGACCTTTTGGTGTTATTGCCTGCTCTGATTCAAAATGTGAATGATAATAAATGCTCATATTTGGTTTTCAACTAGTGCCAGATTATTGGTTGGAAGGTCAACCAGAGGCATATTGGAGTACTCAGAAGAGAGGCCAGTCATCCCAATATCTGTGTGGTTGTGGTCCAACTGATCACAGTTCCAACAGATGTTCTTTCCAACTTTACCTTGCGAGTCCATACTAATATGGGTATTTTTAAAGTAAGGTCCATTTTGTTGTAGACACTAGTAGTTCGCACGCATACCGCAACGAGCGCGTGCGTCATGTACCGGCATGCCTCGGGAACAACTGTGCTCAGTTTCCGCTCTGTAGCTAACCTGTACGGTTCTGTTCTGTGCTTTAAAAATGTTTAAGACTATCAACTCACCCTCTGCATGTGAGGTTCGCTCAGTGATACGGTTTTTGTCAGCAAGGAACCTGCCTGCTGCAGAAATTCATCGACAGATTTGTGAAGTGTACGGTGATACTGTTATGAGTGAAAGCAAAGTGCGTAAGTGGGTATGACAATTCAAAGATGGCCATGACAACGTCCATAATGAGGACCACTCCGGTCGCCCTTCTTTGATTACAGACGATTTGGTGACTACAGCAGGTGTCAAGTTTTTATGAAGAGGGTATTTTAAAATTGCTTCAGAGGAATGATAAGTGTTTGAACAAACTTGGCAACTATGTCGAAAAATAGAGTGAAGTATGTACTTTCTGAAAATAAATTTACTTTTTTGAAATAAACTTTCGTTGTGTACTTATGTTCAAACGGACCTTACTTAAAAAATACCCTTCGTATTTCAACCATCCAAAACCACTGTCCTGTCCTAGAAGTATCTCTTGAACAATGCAATTTCATCCTTCCTGCTTTCCTTTTATATAGGACCTCTTGATACGGAGGTCTTTCCTCCAGTATAATGAGTTAGATTGGAGAAGGCAAGGGCAGGTAACTTGTGGCCTTCCATATGTTGTTGGATCCCATGACCTCTTTCCCCTGTTTATGGGGACTACAGCTGGTGGGAGCATCAGTCCAGAAACACCAGGAGAGTTGCATGATTCACACTCCTGATATGAGGGAGAATCAACCATGCTTTAGACTATAATTTCATAAATTATATGGTGACTGTATCTGGAGAGTGCTAGCTTGCTTTTTTTTTTATTAAAGTACATCTGGTCATTTTGGCCTCTATCTATCTATTTTAGCATAGACTAATTTTTCTAAGGAGGGTTTTTCACTAATAATTAAAGCTACATTTTTATTTGGGAGTTAACCTAAAGAGGACTGTGTTTTAAGGGATAGTTGGGATAAAGCTCACTAAATTCCACACTATTGACGTCTGAAGATGGTTAGAATTATGCTACATGTTGCTGAACTTTATTCTTATGACCCATTATTATCACTTCCATTGCAGTAGAATTATGGCTGTCATGATCTTGAAGCATTACATAAGCCCATGAAAGAAACAGTCAGGGCAATACTGGAAAACATTCAGATAACAATCTTGTTTACAACATTTGAGACTAATGGGTGATTCTAGCATAACAAAGCTGACCAATAAAAACAAGAACCAGGACGACAGAAAAACTCACAGAACTACTCCATAAATCTGATGATGGAGTGATATATTATTAGAAGCACATGGATTCTCAGTGAAAATTGTCCCCCTCCATTGTAATATCTTGATAAACATTTCATGTCCTCAAATGATTGGGCTTGATGGAGATTGAATCATATTCAGAGTGAACCAAATGAAATCTTTAGTCATGAAACCCCATTGATTTTAACAGGAATAAGAAAGAATAATTGTGTTGCCCTGATTTCTATTTGGCCTATTCTATAACGATTAAATCTGGATCTAACCCATTATACTTCCTTGTCACCTGTTCTGAAATTGTTTTATACAATTGGTTATTGTCAGTTGACAAAATGTAAACACCGAGATATGGAATAAGTTTTGCTGCTCTTGAGAGAGTGCAAGACTGCCTTCCTTGGCAGATGTCTAATATTTATGTCTTTAAATCATATTTATTATATCTGAACCATCTAGATACCTAGATTCATTGGGTATTGTCACTCTAATGAATAATGTATTGTATATAACTGTACACATGACATTTATTTTTAACCATCTCTGAAGATTTTAGGAGTTTCTCCAGGCTGTTCAAGAAGAGTGAAGGTTTCCCGTTGACTTTGGTTCAAGCTCTTGATGAGCCATTTTGTCCTTGGAACCGCAGATGGGAATCACATTATGCAGCTCAACTGTGGAAAGAAGCTTGGAATATCTACTTAAGTTACATCACAATGTTATCAGCAACTTCCGCTGGCAAACAGTGAATAGCATTGAAATATTACAATGCTAGGAGCTACATAAGTACCTAGAGAGAAAAGAAACGATTTACTGAAAAATAAATCCTTATTTATACGTTGATAGCATGGCATAGACATTTCCAAGCAGAGAAATGATAGTTTTTAACCACAAAGTGCTTTCTACAGATTTATTCAAAACTGTAAAAATGTAAAACCTAGTTCATCTAAAAAGGCTTGGCTATTACAGTGTACTTCTCTTATGCTAAATGCAGTGATGGATACGAGTCAGAAAGGATGAGCAACATCTTGTGGAATGACATCAGTAGCAAACAGTTACCACTTTCTGTCTCGCATAAGTAATACTTAAGTCTTGTGCGAATTTAAGCAATGGGTACACATTGTTATTAGAGAATTGGATTTATAATCCATTACTATTAAGCCAGGTTTTTTAAATGCAGCATTGGAGCAAAAAGATGGGAGCTCTAACATCTGCTGAAGCTAATTCTACATCAATGAGCATACATGACAACCACCTACAAGTCAACCATATTTTGTTCCTCTTATGCATTTGTCCCATTCAAACCAATTTCCAGAAGGAACTGGCATGGTATGTAGCCTTATAGAATAGCAAATGTTGTAATGGAGTCATAGAAAAACATTCCTTGATCTGCATGAGACAACAAAGAAGTTACTGTCACAAGTGTACCACTTTCTGTTTTGAGTCTTGCCAAGAGGCTAGAACCCTGGGTCTATAGCCAATAATCTCTTCATTGTTACTTGAAAAGAAAGTTCATTTATTACGAGAAAACGGCACGAGTGTCATGTATTATTACATTTTGACACCAAGAACTACACCATGTTGCTTATGAACTTACTGTGTTATGTTTTCCAAAATGGTATCCCTTATAGTAGTGGCTCCCAAACAGTTTAGGCTGTGTGCATTTCACAAAATATTAAGCTCTCCAACAATCTTTACCCTACTTCCAACCCGGGCTAGCTCAAACATGAGGCAGACGAGGTAGCTGCATTGGGGAAGGGCATTAAAGGCTCTGTTTTTTAAAATATTTCATTTTTCTATTAAAAACAAAAAACAAAAAACCAATTTGGATTTTCAGCCCAAGATGTCAAAATGGTTGGGGCTGTTATTCTTACCAAAAGCTCTAGCCTGATCTTATCTTAGATCAAGATGACTTGCCTGTAGCTCTCAAGCTAATGTCACGAAGCCTCAACTTGCTTCGACATCCACTGGTTTCAGACTAGTGGCAAGATCTTTGTCTCCTCCAACAGCCCACTGGGCAAGGGAAAAGCATCAGGAAGAGAGAAAAGGGGCACCTTTTCTTAGATCTGACCCTGTGAGTCACTGCTCTTGGGTCTTAGCTGAGATCGGTGCTGACATCTATCCCAATGGATTACCAGCTAGCTCCCCCAGGACTATGGTCCAGAAACAAGCCCTTCCCACTCCTCTCTTGCTTCTTAATTCCTGTCCCACTGACATTGCATCGGGGAGCCAAAGAAGAAAATGCAGACATAGGACCTTTAAGGGCTAAGAATACCATCTTCAGATGAATATGGAAAATACCATGTAAGGTATCATTATCCAGAGGTATCATCTCTCTTCCTACTCTTAATATATTTTGTATTCTAATACAACATGGGAACCACCACCATATGGCACATGCACCTCAGCAGAATGAGAAATCAAGTCAGAAAGAGCCACTGCATTGTACATTTCCTATAGAGCAGACAGAACTCAGAGGTTGAGAGGTTTCTAGGTCACTGCAAACATGAAGGCCAAATGAGATGTGCCAAAATGGTAGATCACAGCTTACACCATTTCCTCTGTAGCATGAGAAAGACAAGAGTTTTGTTTGTAAAGACGCTCAGCTAAACGCGATGCCTCATCTGCTTCCTGGCTACTGGAAGAGGAATTCGCTGAGTTAACTACCTCTGCCCCCTGAAATGTTTTATTCTAAAATATTCTGCTTTTCAGTCAAATATGTTTTTTTAGAAAAGTGTACAAACCTCCTTGATTCATGTATATTAATGTGTTTACCTAGCAACGACGATACCCCCTTTAAAATTTATTCCCCTTATGTGACTTTTCATGCATGCCTTTCCGAATGTTGCATTCAGCGACAGTTTCTAATGAGCTGGTGGGTAAATCCATGATTGAATCTCTCTCCAGAGAACCACTGCATGTCTGGCTGATCTATGTTTAGAAGGCAGCTCGTGGCAATCAGACATTTTTACATTCGTCAATGTTCTCCTTCATCACAGGTCTCCGTCACAGGCTTCTTCTCATTTAATGTAGATGTACAAAAGCTGTTTACTCGGTTTTGTTTTGTGCTCATTCTAGTGAGGATTGGCTTAGCAGAACTGCAAAACACAGAGAAAAAGAGAGAGGGAGGGGGGAGGAGAAGGGAAAGGAGCTGGTTTAGTACTGGATGACATATTAGCAGAAGCATCTGTAGGGTTTCCTTAAAACCCTTGGAACAAAACAAGACACTGCATGCATGTTTTCTTAAATAGCTTATTATGATTATGAGGCACTGAAAAAAGCCACTTCTTAGATCAGTGGTTCTCAACCTTCCTAATGCTGTGACCCCTAAATACAGTTCCTCATGTTGTGGTGACCCCCCAACCATAAAATTATTTTTGTTGCTAATTCATAACTGTAATTTTGCTACTGTCTCTTTTACTGTCTCTTACAGAGAGAGGTCAACCCTCCTGTTTAAGGAGCTCCATTGGCTGCCGTTCATTTTCCGGTCCCAATTCAAGGTGCAGGTGCTCACCTACAAAGCCCTAAACGGTTTGGGACCCGCCTACCTGCGTGACCGCATCTCCGTATATGAACCCACACAATCCCTCCGTTCATCTGGAGAGGCCCTGCTCACGATCCCACCTGCGTCGCAAGCGCGTTTGGTGGGGACAAGGGACAGGGCCTTCTCTGTGGTAGCCCCCCGACTCTGGAACTCTCTCCCCAAGGACATCAGACAAGCCCCAATGTTGGCAGTCTTTAGGAAGAGCTTGAAGACCTGGCTATTCCACTGTGCCTTTCCAGAATAGGAAATGCCCAGCATCATGTCCCAAATGCACTTTACCAGAGATTTAAGATTGCCTGCACATCGCACCTACCCTAAAATCCTTACATTTCACCTGTCATGTCCAGCACTTTTAATTTATTCATTACATTTGGCCCGGCCCTAGTTTTAAATGTGTCATGATGTATTGTTTTGATGTTTTACTGTTATTGCTTTAATGTTTATTGGTTTGCTTTATGAGTTTTATTGTTGTATTTGTTATGCTGTTGTTTTATTGAGGGCCTTGGCCTTTGTAAGCCGCACCGAGTCCTTCGGGAGATGTTAGCGGGGTACAAATAAAGATAATAATAATAATAATAATAATAATAATAATAATAATAAATGGTCTTTTAACTTATGATTATGTTTTAGTTAATGTTTATCTGTCTTGTTTATTATTGTTGGTGTCATCTAATGGTTACCGATTAGGCCTGTGCGGTTTCGTTCGTTAATTCGTTAATTCGTTATTAATTCGTTTTTTTTGGGCATTTCCGAAGCGATATCAAAACACATTTCCAAACCCGGAAGGGTTTTAAAATATCGAACCAGCAACCCCCATAGATTTAACGAGCTTCCGCTCGTTTCGTTAATGGGATGGAGGCTGCTGGAGTGCTGGTGCCTGGGAGCCAATCCGGCGCTCCCAAGCAGTGCCCCGTGGGTCCGTGGCTGTTTGTTTTTGATTGGCCGGCGAGCCCTTTCAAAGCGGCTCCGCGCGGCCCGTAGCTTGCTGCAGAGGGCGAGGGAGTTTGCATTGGGTTGGCTTGGCTGCTAGCAACTGGGATTGGATTCATTCCTTGCTGCTGTGAGTGCTGCTTGCTTCATTTGCTGTCTCCTGCCTGTGTTTGGTCCACATTTGGGCCATTTTTTGGTTAATTTTCCATTTTAAAATATTTTTTAATATTATTTTTTAATATTATTTTTTAAATATTATTTTTAATATTATTCTTAAAAAATATTCTAAAAAAGAAAAGACTCTTCTGTTGGTGTGTGCTCTCATTTGCTGTATCCTGCCTGTGTTTGGTCCACATTTGGGCCATTTTTTGGTTAATTTTCCATTTTAAAATATTTTTTATATTATTTTAATATTATTTTTTAATATTATTTTAATATTATTCTTAAAAAATATTCTAAAAAAGAAAAGACTCTTCTGTTGGTGTGTGCTCTCATTTGCTGTCTCCTGCCTGTGTTTGGTCCACATTTGGGCCATTTTTTTTTGTTAATTTTCCATTTTAAAATATTTTTTAATATTATTTTAATATTATTCTTAAAAAATACAAAAAATATTCTAAAAATTCGTTAATATTTACAAAATTTCGTAAATACCAAAACTTTTTTGGGGAAAGTTTTGTAATTATTTTAAATATCGAAACAAAAAAACACCCCAATTACAAATCGATTTTAGAAACAAATTTTTTCTTGATCAAACAGGCCTATTACCGGTTATAAGCCGCCCTGAGTCCCCCTTCGAGAGGTGAGAAGGATGGGATATAAATGTCTAAAACAAACAAATAAATAAATACTGTTATGAATTGTAATGTAAAACTCTGATAAGCCAGTCAGCCATTCCTGGGGGGGAGGGGCTGAAGGAGGAGGTGGTGACCCCTCAGAAATACCTGAATGACCCCCGTGGGGGTCGCGACCCCCAGGTTGAGAAACGCTGACTTAGATAGAATAAATAGTGGTTTGTGGGTTGTCTTGTGAGTGTCTGTGCATACATGTGCTTTACCTTCTCCACAAATGATGGATAGAAGCACACACCTACATACACTTGGTCCAAAAGCTGCCTCTGAATGGAAGACAGAGGGTGAGAGAGAGAAAAGGAGGAAATTCATGTATCTATGTATTTTAAGCATTTTAATGGTGCCCTTTAGTTTCTAAAAAATCTCCTGTTGACTCACATTTGTCATAAAAGCAGTATCCAAGAAGAAAAATCTAGATTAAGGAATGGAAATAAAGATCCAGCAAAATACTGTTGGGCTTTTGTAATAATGGATTCTGCATCCCCCGATTCAACCATCCACAATTTGAACCCCCCCCCCCCCCCCAAGAAATCCCCAAAAGCAAACCTTGATTTTACCGTTGTATATAATGCAACTTGAACATCCAAGTATTTTGGTTTCCACAGGGTGAGGGATTCCTGGGACCAAATCCCAGAAGTTACCAAGTTAGCAAGAGGCAGTGGCACCTATTTTACTTGGTGCCCATTTCCTTAATGATTGGCAGCAGAAAGTGAGGGCCTTCTCTTGGTAAGAAATAACACCAGGCCAGAGTTCATGTGGCCAAGTATTATAGCGGCTTTCCAGTGGAATCATGGCAGGAAAGACTCTCCATAGTGTGAAGCTGAATATCCCACTACCACCATCCACCACATGGTGGAGGGCTTTTCACTCTCAAGTCATGACAGAATTGCAGTCAGAAGCTCCACAGGTTTTCTTGTTTCCTTCATGAGGCTTGGAAAGGTTAAACACTGAAGCAGAGAAAAGTTGGCTATTTGGTTCATGTTACATTCCAATTGCCATCAGCACTAACTTGTATGGCCAATGGTCAGGGATGATGGGAAATGTAATCCAACAATATCTGGAGAGTCACAGGTTTTCAATTCTGGTTTAAGTATTTGGAGCCTTTTTTTTCTTTAGAGCAGCAAGATAAACAAATGGAGATATGGTATATACCAAAAATCCAGTATCACCCAAACACCTTTTGTCATATCTACAGAACTGACATGTACAGTTTCACTTATCCACAGATTCACTTATTCACCTAGAGTCTCCTGTACAAGCTACATCCTCTTCTTGGTACCTGTTATTTGTCCCACTGTTAATAACAGGGTTTGGTTTTATGCACTGTTTCATGTATTCACACCAACTCTGGAATATATCCCCTGTGGATATGGGGATTATACTGAACCTCTCTAATGATGAAGGCATGATGAAAATACATGATACACATATTGGAAAATATATATTGGATGTAACCATATTAGAAATCGGAATTAGAAAATATATAGGATGTATGTATTTATGAACTCCCTTCACTTGGGAAAATATTCTCTTCTTAAAAGCTGCAAATTAGATGCCTCAGAGAGGCCAGGGTCTAAGAAAGGAATGTCTAAGGCAGTGGTTCTCAACCTGGGGTCCCCAGATGTTTTTGGCCTACAACTCCCAGAAATCCCAGCCAGTTTACCAGGCATCTAAGGCATCTGGCAAATATCATGACTGGTACCAAGCAGAGCATATCGTAAGATTAATGGGACTGGCTATTAAGGGGCTTCTTCAGGACTTATCTCAAGATGGATGGAAGCTCTTGCTATCAAGTAGCAGACACTCTGGCGCTATGGTCCTCTTAATGATCAGCAATTTAGATAAAGGTGCTTAATGGAAGATTGAAGGTGTTCAAGTTAAAATATGATATTGAAGTCAATGTAAAAGTGGAATTTTGTGACACACATTGTGATGCTTGTATGATGCATGTATATTATTTTAAAGAGTATATAAACCAAGGCAATTCTTTTGTTCAGCACCCTGTTTTTTGGAATACCAGCAGGGTCCATATCCGGTTGGCGCCAACCGAGAATAAACCGTGCTTTTACAGACCTCAGGAACTCTCTTTTGTCTCTTTTCCTCAAACCTCTCCCTGCCATTTCACTAATACTTCAATTTATTGATCTTACAGCCACAAGTGATAGCAATAGCCATAGACTAATGCTGGATCTACACTGTGCTATAACCCAAATTCTGATCCCGTATCTTAACTGAATTATATGAGGCCCCTTCTACACTGCCATATAAAATCTAGATTATCTGCTGGGTAAATGACCTTGGAGGGCCTTAGTTTGAGGACCCCTGAGCTAAGGAAATCTGCTAAGTGATATTGACCAACTCCTCCTCTCTTATCCTAAAATGAGCCCAATTTCAAACCTTTTCTAAATAAATCTTGCAAAGAAAACTGTATGATAAGAGTTGCTGTAAGCCAGAGTCATCTTAGAAACACAATAACTCAACAATATAGGCATAAAATGGATTAAAGATTAGTAGGAATTAATTTAAAGTATTACATACAATTAAAAGCATGAAAATTCCTTCCACACATTATTAACAAATGAAATCACTTCAATGATATATGATTTATTATGATTAAATTTATATTCATACCTCAATGAACCTTAAATACTCCTAAATTGACTGTAATTAATATGATATTGAAATATGAATTATACATTTTGAACTACATTGACTATGATGTTCACTATCTCATTGACTATAATAATAGCTTTTTGTTCATTTCCCAATGATTCCA